TCAACATGACTTATCAATTCTGATACGTCATGAGCTACGAGAAATCCGAGTCAATTATAATAAAACTGTGCAAGAATATCGACAGTTACACAAGGATTGGCCCGGCCAGTCCAATATTGACACTCTGGTGAAGATGGCCACTCCTCTTTTTATATTTGCCGCCACTATATGTCGCTTTCTTGCTGACCGCAAATATGGGAACCCTGATGCCCGGCTTCGCAATGTCCTAAGATATGAAACCAAAAGTCAAGAGTCTAAGCTCGATGCAACCTATTTGCCTGTCCTTAATCAACAGGTTACCGGTCTTTCTGCAAGTGAGCGAAACGAGGTACTACATCAATTTCAATACATCGTCGGCTCTATTGTGCTCCTTGCAAGTCCTTTACCGACACCTAGTCTGGCACATCTCCTTGGAATCTCCAGAGATATTATTGATACAAGATTAGATATGCTTCATTCCGTCTTAAGCGTACCGCAATCAGATGGGTCTCCGGTCAGATTACTTCACCTCTCATTTCGTGATTTCCTGGTCGATCCCGAGAAACGAGGGCAAAATCCTTTTTGGGTCAATGAGGCAGAAGCTCATGCGAGTATAACTAACAACTGTCTGCGCATCATGAAAGAGTTTCTCCGAGAAGACATTTGCAACTTACGATCACTTAGGCTGGAGGGTTCTACAATTAATATTCAAAACATAACTATGTTTATTCCTGCTGCAATTCAGTACGCATGCCTGAATTGGGTATTTCACCTTCAAGAAGCAAAATATCACACTGGAAATTATACAGAAATACTGCAATTCCTGGAACAGCATTTTTTACATTGGATCGAGGCGCTGAGTTTAATACATAAGGCACCAGAAAGCATCAATATGATCAGAAGCCTACAGGCAATTTTACTAGTAAGTTTCTCTATCTACGATTGAGTACCAATTTAGTGGATGAAAACGTTGACCTTGTGATAGAACCAGAGTAACAAAGCGCTCTCTGACTTTTTAGATGACGCTTTGCATATCCTTCAATCAAATTTACAAATAATTACTACGGCGCCTCTTCAACTCTATTCTTCAATTCTTATATTTGCTCCAAGCAAAAGTATCATTAGAAACTTGTTCAAGGGGACAATTCCTAAGTGGATATGTCTTCAGCCCAAGGTAGAGAACAACTGGAGCCAGTGTATACAGACACTCGAAGGCCATAGTCTCTCAGTTATGTCAGTGGCGTTTTCACATGACTCGTCTTTTCTTGCATCAGCTTCGTATGATGGCACCGTTCGCCTATGGCATACTAGCACAGGCAAGTGCGTCCAGACTCTCAGTGGCCATGGTTCCCCGGTTTTGTCTGTGGCCTTCTCTCACGACTCGTCGTTTGTGGTATCAGGTTCACATGACAATTCTATCCGGCTGTGGTACACCGATACTGGCGAATGCTTCCAAATCCTTCGAGACCATTGCGGCTCGGTTAAATCTGTAGCCCTATCGCATAACTCATCACTTATAGCATCAGCTTCGGGCGACGGTACCATTCGAATATGGCGCACGCGTACAAATAAGTGTATTCAAATACTCAATGTTCCATATTTTGACACCGCTTGTGTGGTCTTTTCACATGACTCGTCCATTATAGCATCAACTTCCGGCTATGGTACTATCCATCTATGGGACACTACTACGGGCGAGTGTATTCGAAGATTGAGAGGCGGGTCGTCAGCGACATCTGTTGCTTTTTCAAGTGACTCGTCACTGGTAGCAGCCGCCTCCGGTAGCATCATCCGGCTGTGGCGTTCTGATACAGGCGACTGCATCCGAAAATTCAAGGGCCATTTTGACAGCGTTAATTCTATATCCTTCTCACATAACTCATCGCTTTTGGCGTCAGCTTCGGATGATAATACGATCCGTTTATGGCAAACTACTACAGGCGATTGTATTCAAGAATTGAACGGTCATAACGGCGAAGTTAAGTGTGTAACTTTCTCATATAACTCATCGACGATAGCATCAGCATCTAGGGATGGGATCATCCGGTTATGGCACGTCAACCTCGATGATATCCAGGAATCCAAACTCAACACCAATGAGGTCATCCCTCGAGAGCATGCTGAAATTAACGACCGCATCCAGGGAATTGAAGGTTATGGCGCCCGCATAGACAAAGTGGCCTTTTCTCACGATTCATCACTCCTTGCATCGCTTTCATTCGATGGTACCGTCCGCACATGGCGTACTGATACAGGCGGTTGTGTACAACAATTTAAGAGTCGAACTAGCCCCATGTATTCTCCGCAGAATGCATCGTTTGACTGGCATAGCTGCTTAGTTTTCTCACATGATTCATCGCTTGTGGCATTCTCTTTGGGAGATACATCTCTGTGGCTATGCAGTGTTGATACAGGGGAATGCATCCACGAACTCAAAGGTCATGATAAACTTGGCGTCCGTTCCGCTTCGTTCTCTTATGAATCGTTACTTGTCGCATCAACTTCAGCAAGTAACATCCGGGTATGGCGCGTTGATAAAGGCCATTGTCTGCGCATATTTAAGATCTGGGGAGCTTGCTCAGTGGCCTTCTCACCTGAGGATTCATCGCTTATAGCATCAGTTGCAGATCACGACAGTCGAATATGGTCTATTATTACAGGCGAGTGTGTGCAGATACTTGAGAACGCAAAACCTTTTTATCATTCAGTCGCTTTCTCACACGATTCGTCGCTTGTAGCGGCAACTTTCGGAGGTACCATTCAGCTATGGCTTTCTGATACAGGAGAGTGTGTCCATGAATTCCATACGCACAAATATCACTTTTTGACTGGAGTATCATTCGCACTTGACAATTTTCACCTTCTTACACCGGTGGGGATATTTACTACTGTAGAAGGCGAGTACAGTTTCCGTGCTGAGGGTTATGGATTTAACGTAGATCGCTCTTGGATCACTTGGAATGGAAATAACCTACTGTGGGTGCCGTCAGATTATCGATCACATGTCACCGCTGTGAATAAGTCAACTGTAGCTGTCGGCTGCACTTCAGGAAGAGTATGGATAATGAGATTTTCAGCTTATACACAATGATATATCAAATCGAAGTAACACCAAATGAAAGTTTTGTATCGGCATACATAATTCATTTTCATTATCTGACAGAGTACATATCCAGTTACTACTCAATTTGCCAAATACATTGTATGTGCTGAGGGCTGTGGAGATGTTCTTCAAAAGGGTGGCATATGATTCTTGATGTCTTCAACTATCATGAAGCAACTGTATTATTTCCTTAACTAGAAACAAGCTGTACCCGATGAGTAGATATCGTCTTGAACGGAACTCGCTCTCCGGTTGATATTTATCACACATGATTATGAATCACGGGTAATAATATCTATCTCTACCTACCTAATGCTACTGCCTATATCGTCTCTATCTAAACAGGGGGTTTATCATGGCAAAAATGCACAAAACTGCAGATACTCCACCAATTTCATTACATCCCGTCATGTTCACTGGCACTAGTTTGTTTGCGGATCAGAATCCTTCGATGATCAGACATTATATAGCCGGATATATGGGTGATTTCAATACAGAAAACACGTCATCAATGGGTAAATCTTCTACAGTCGTGCCCCAGGGATGCATGTGCAACTATTGGATTGACAAGCTACCAAGTGCCAGTCGCACCACCTTGCTTCCAATTTGCGATCCACTGAAGCGTCATTCGAATAACATTTATGATCTTCAAGTCTATAAATGACGCAATTCAACCGCAGAAGCTTTATTATCGGAGATATTACAAGTTTGCAGTATACGTAATTCCATGCTACTGTTCTGTACGTGCTGTCCCGGAGCAAAACCTACTAGGTAGCTTCGCCATTTAAGCGATACAAACGACTATAGCGACAGTCTCTGCATTCATTATTTAGGACATTGATCCTAACTCCATCGCTCATATCAAAGACGATAAGCTCTCCATCGAGTGTTACCAGCAACACAAGCATCTATGGAGCAACACCGCGAAGTTATCAGTTCCTTAGCCGGGGCCCGAGAATTCGATGCCATCTACTATCCCGGAGGTCATGGACCGATTTTTTCATCTCGCATTCGATAAGGATTCACACGCTTTAATTGTCGAGTTCTTGAATAAGGGCAAGCTTATCTCCGCTGTATGCCATTGAGTTGCAGCTCTTACTGAAGTCAGCCTGCCTGATGGGACTCTTCTGCTAGCTGGAAAACAGGTTACTGGCTATGGTAACGAAGAGGAGGTGCAGGCTCAAGTGACCGAGCATGTTCCGTTATTATTAAGGGCCGCTTGACTTATATTACTCAAGGTTATAATACAAAGGTAGCGGAGCCATGGGGGCCCAGTGTGGTTGTCGATGGTAGAATAACCACCGGCCAGAAGCCTACTAAAGCGGTAATCTATATTAAGCATTCAATTTGTACGTTCAATAACAGCATATTTTAAATGGAGATTAGAATAAATATATGGATTTTTTTGCAAGATATTCCCAATATCTGTAATGAGCAGAGTGTATACTGCTGTGTAATAAGTCGTCTTGATAGTCGTTTTCTAAGTTACTTGTGCCGTAAAACCTCTCCACTGATACAAATGTGGCTCAATCCACTTGATCCAGTGTCCTTAAAATGGAGTAGCTTTCGTAAAATTTTCGTTGACAAGGGGGGACCGTCTAATCGCATTCACTCGTCCATTCACAGCTGCATCGGGAAGTAGTGCATCGTGATCGTTGATGTGATACTTATTGCGCTCCGCCTAGTCTTCTTTTTACTATACACTTAACTCGGACCAATTTTCGATGTTGACTACGCATTAGCAAACACAGGCCCTGCTTTGATGGTAATCTCAAAACAGACATCTTCAGCAAGCATATTGAGTAAATATGTGTAAATCCTGTATATACCATAATAAGCACGCCGTCATTCAACAAATTCAGAGCCACTCCGGCTCCGGAAGTGGAGTCACATCCCACCAAATCCTCCATCCGGATTGGCTTCCGTAGCTCAGTTGGTTAGAGCTTCGTACTAATACTTTCAAGTCTTCCACGACTCAAAGTCTTGGTAATGCGAAGGTCGCAGGTTCAAGCCCTGCCGGGAGCAATGCTCACCAGCCGCCATTCGGAGATAGGATTTCTTTTTTTGCTCTTTTTGTGAATTATTTCCTATTTCTTTTCCATTGAACTTCCTCTGTTTTACATATCTATGAAGAAAACGGTTGTGTGTTGAGAGTAGAAGTGCGATGCGGCCACTCATCTTTTTTCTCCTCCACTTACATACGACATCGGGATATAGAGGTGGCTCATATTCAACTCTTATTCAATCCTTCACAATGACTATTCCGTAAAAAAAACTTCTTTTATTATCCTAGCAATCCGATATATGAGACCGAGGATCGACCTGACATGAGTACGAGTAAAACACAGTTCTCGTAGTAGACACCAGCCCAATCTGTAGGCGTGATACTGTAACAAGAAGCGAGATTACATACGCTGGGTCTGACACCACTTCATATCGAAAAAGAGTTAATGAGTATGGGCTGAATAGGGTAGCTCATCAAGCCAAGTTTTAAAATTGGCGGTGGGGAGTGGGACGAGGCGTTGCAAATTATTTTTATTTTTATTTTTATTTTGTTCATTAAGAAGCATCCAAGCCCAGCGCTCGCGTGCTGGCCTCGAGGCATCAAGTCAATCCAGCTTGATGAAGCCAAGGCATTATTCTAAAAAATAGTATATCTAAAGCTAACAAAAACAACCTATCTTGAAACCCGCCAGGCCCTTCAACCAAGTGAGCGTCCCTCCCCCTCGTCGGGAAGATGAAGGACGTCTCACATTGGCTCTGGAGTGGGAGGCTGGCTGCATAGGAAGCAGTCAACAGCCTGCCCACTCTGAAGGGGCGAAGCGGGTCGGTATAATATATACCGTTTAATCAAGATAGTAACATCCACAGACTTTTTGCTACGTAAACCTGCGGTTCTATATCTACACATGCTGTCGCAAGGATTCAAGGCCTCGGGGTTTAGCCGAGGAAATTATACAAGACCTTCAGTACTCATTCCATTAAGCGGTTCCGTTGACAGTGCCGTTGGCCTCATTTCTGGCCTGGCAGACCTCCTTGGTAACCTCGTCGAGGCATCCGATGGCGGCGGCTACCAGACCAAGGATGGGGAGAGAGGGGCTAAGCGGCTGGCTGATGTACTCCGGGTGGTATTGCACACCGACGAAGTAAGGGTGGCTCTTGATCTCAATGATCTCCATACGTCTGCCAGTATCGTCCTTACCGACAAAGGACAAGCCAGCCTTCTCGAATTCGTCAACAAGGGCAGGGTTAACCTCGTAACGGTGTCGGTGGCGCTCATCGACAGTCTCGGCGTTGCCGTACATGGCTCGGAGCTTGCTGTCCTCGCTGCCAGGCTGGAAGTGCGTGGTGCGCAGGCCAAGTCGCATGGTGCCACCCTTGGTCTCCTTGGAGCCCTCGGGCATGAAGATGACGGCGGGGTACTCGGCATTCTCGTCGAACTCTTCGGAGGTGGCGTTGGCGTGTCCGCAGACGTTGCGGGCGAACTCGCAAACGGCCAGCTGCATACCGAAGCAGATACCCAGCCAGGGGGTGTTGTGCTCTCTGGCCCACTGGGTAGCCTTGATAATACCCTCTGTGGCTCTCTCGCCGAAGCCTCCGGGAATAACCACACCAGAGGCTGAGCAAACATCGTGCCAGGCCTTGTGGTACAAGGCGGGGTCGGCCTCCCGGGTCGACTCCTCGAGATGCTCCGAATCAACCCAGATGAGGTTCAGCTTGCGCTTGCAGTGGATAGCCGCGTGCTCTAATGATTTGTAGAGACTGAGGTAGCTGTCGTGAAGTTCGACGTACTTGCCAACCAGGGCAATGTCGATCGTCTCTGTGTAGTTCTTTGAGATGACATCCTTCCACTTTTGCCAAATTTCGGCACCCTTCTTGACTTGGGCTGGCTCAGGGGTGAGCTTGTCCAGCATCAAGATTGACTGCAGAACAGTGATCAGGCCCTGCTCTTTCAGAAGGACTGGCACCTGGTAGACTGTGGGCATATCTCGGACGGCAATCACCTGCTCAGGCTCGACCTGGCAGTGAAGGGCGATTTTGTTGATGGTATCTTGATCAAGAGGACGTTCACAACGGCAAGCAATCTGTGAGGGTCGTCAGCTGAATACCGACAAGGCAACAGCTAGATTTAAGCTCTTACCAAGTCAGGAATGAGACCGGCACTCCGGATAGTCTTGACGGCGTGCTGAGTCGGCTTGGTCTTTTGCTCGCCGTTGATGACGGGAACATATGAGACCTGAATGTTGATGAAGTTGCCCTTGCCACACTTGTGTCGGAGCTGTGTAAGCGCCTCAACGAAGGGCATGTTCTCAATATCGCCAACTGTGCCACCCTGTAGAATTGGTTAGAAGGAGCGCAAGCATAAAGATTGGAGAAGAGTATATACAAGCTCAACTAAGAGGTTGTCAGCAGATGTCCAATATAGCTTGTGACCGTAGAGGCGGATGCGACATACCAATGCAGACATCAGGCTCGGCGCCCGACTCATCGATGGGGATTCTGGCGACCCGCTCAATCCACTCCTTAATGAGGTTGGTGACGTGAGGGACGACCTGGACGGTACGGCCCAAGTAGTCTCCACGACGTTCCCTGAGGCCGACCTCCATGTTGATCTTGCCGGTGGTGATGTTGTGGTCTCGGGAGAGGTTGATGCCCAGATATCTCTGGTAGTGACCAAGATCCAAGTCACACTCGCCACTAGGACGCCAAGAGTCAGTTTTACCCTATGTAAAAAGTTTTTCTCTATAGGCTCGAAATTTTCGGTTCGGGTACGAGACACTTGTCGTTGGTTGCCAAAATCGTTTTGGAAAGGGCAAGAAAGGGCTCCAGAAGCTGCTTACCCGTCGTCCAGAACGAAACACTCTCCGTGATCTTTCGGGTTCATAGTTCCAGCATCAATGTTCAAATAAGGATCGATTTTCTGCCGTCATCGTTCAAGTTAGAGGTCGATTCTAAACTTTTTAAGGCGACTCCAGGTAGTTAATGCTCACGATGCAGGTGACACGCAGGCCGAGCGTCTTGAGAAGCTATTCGGGCGGTTAATATTCGAATATTCGAGTCCCGCCATGGACGAATTATAGAAGCATACCAGGCCCGTGGACGAGGCAATAATGCCCTTTCCAACACCTAGTAAATCGTTAGCAGACTTCAAAATATTGTCTGGGGCAAGGTGCAGTACCGGAGATGACTCCGCCCGAAACGAGAATGTAACGCATGGTGACAAGAACTGTTCGTCAATATCGATGAGGTACAGGGATAGAATGACGATGACAGCGCATGTGAAGTTTTTAAGAAGTTTGGAACTTTTTTTTTTTTCTTCTAATCGCGGACGGCGGGTCCGTGCACTGCCCCGCATCTGGCAGGTGGCCAATGATGTATCCGCGTATGGAGCTCCATCCGGTAAATCTGTGTACACCGCCCGGCAGAATTTTGAACGTCTGCATATGCATGCTCTTAGTGTATCCGAGCACGCTTTTGCCCGACTGCCGCGTACAATCATGTGAATTGCATAACTTTGGTATCGCATAGCTCACAGCTTCGTGTTGACTCTTATCATGCATATGATGATTCCTCCGGCCTTTCTGTACTTGGCCAAATGACGCCGGATGACTCTTTTGACATCTCGGCCGAGTCGGGGAATTACGATCAAGGGTTCATGCCTGTCAACCAGGGTCGCTGCGGCTGCCAGGGCCTCCAGACGCTTTGTACATGTACCATTCGCATGGCTACCAAAAACTTACATGTATTCCTAACCTCATGTACACGCCTGACGTCCAAACTCACCAGTTTTCAACTTTTCCAGTGAAGCTATCTCTGACTCGCGTGGGCGTTATAGTGAAAGGTTAGCGTGTAAATGACGATGGGCATCTGAGATTCAGGCAAGCAGGTTGTTTTACACACTCATCAGCTGTCATAGCTGCCGTAAGAATCCTCCTTTTTACGCATATCGTAGTCAGAGTCAGGCAGATCTATCGGTGATACCGCTAACAAAGAGAAATTCCGGAATGCATGAATTGAGATGTCGGACCTGCACATGGACAGGGCACAAAATAGTAGGGTAGGTGAAGAGAGATACGATCAAGAGAGCAAATGTGACCCAGTCATTAATTCCTTTGTTAAAAACCGGGACATGTTCATTCAATTTATAAACAAGAATACCTGTAGAAAACGTATCATATTTATGTAGTTTATTATTTAGAATATCGGTTGTGTTTCGGTCTTCCCCAACCCCCTTTTAAAGGTATCATCTCTCATCCTCGCCTCTATGCCAGAAGCTTCGTTTATCCAAATTCGTATGCCCCCCAAATTATCTTCTATCGCCATTTAATAATAAAAATAAAAAATTGCACTCCATTATTTATCCTTCAAAAACTCCTGTAGCTCCTCCATCTCTCCACTGTGGTATATCATGTCGTAAAACAAGCCTTTGGAATTGTACAAGTCTCGGGGAGAACCGTATCTATCGAAAGTTAGCATTTATGTGACAAAACAAGTGCTGTATCGCTGGAGGTATGGCTACTTACTCTACTACCTTGCCGGCGCCCATCACGACAACGGAATCATAGTCGATAATGGTCCGCAAGCGATGAGCAATCGTCACAAGTGTACGGTCTCCGCCAGCAGATTCGAGCTCGGTGCGTAGCACTTGCTGAATGCCCTTGTCCGTTTCGTAGTCCATGCTGGCGGTAGCCTCGTCTAGCAGCATCAGCTTGCTCTGGCGGATAAGCGCACGGCAGAGAGACAAGACTTGGCGTTGGCCGTGCGAAAAGTTCTCTCCGCGGGCATCTACTGGAGTCGTCAAAGAAATTCCTTGGGACTGTCCGTGAACCGAGTCATCTACACCGTCGACAATCGTCTCATCAGAAGAATCGTCACTAGAAAAGGACGCGATGCCCTTGCAGTTTTCCAACGCCTTCTCGAGGATCGCCTTGGGAACGAGACCGGTAGGGTCAAGATTAGATTCCACAGTTCCGTTAAACAGTGTCGCTTCCTGAGGGATGATTGTGAGCCCTTCACGTAACCTG